GTGGGACTTTCGGATATGTTCGATGGAACTTCAAGGCAAAAGATGGCTAAGAGGTCTAAAAATCGTCCCGTTGCATATTTATATATTTGGTTTGTTTGGAGCGTCGATTATTTTACTAATTTATTCGAATAATCTCAAAATTAAGAAACACACAATAATTTGTTTTCACAATTACTGAAAAGGTTGGAGTCAAAATATTTTTTTAAATTTAAAAGTGTCTGCATATACTATTATGTAATGGTTTTGTGTTATGTAAAACGTTAAATTACTTCTTGTTCCTGCAATATTGTAGTTTTATTTTCTGTGTTATTGGTTTTTTTAAATAGTTTCCTTGAGATGTTTTTTTTTGGAATGAAATCCTTTTCTGCTGACATAGCATATGCGGTGTGATGATTGCTATATGAGTTCTATCTATACAGCCAATAATTCCTAGGAATAGCCCCTTTTTACACCTTGTTCAGTTTGGAGAAAACAGATCCACTGATTAGACAGTTGTTGCACAATCAGTTCTTGTTTGCTTTGGAATCCTTGAATTCCTGTTACTATTTTCCATGTGTGGGAGCAATTCGTTAAATAAATTGAGAACTAGCTCCTTATTTAGCCGAAACAATTTAATGAATCTATCCTCTTTTGCAGATTAAATATACCACTTCTACCTCTTATTACTTTTTTGCAATTTTTAGATTTGAAATCCGCCGTCGATTCTCCTCCTTATGCAATAAATGTCTCAAAACACATACATATGTAATTTAAGGTTTTATGTCCTAAGAGGTTTCATGAGAATGCGGTTATTCTGTTCTATATTTTATGCTAATTTTAATTAAATTACATTAAATTAAACTAAAAAATGTGCAAAAACGAATTAACAAACATCAGTCAAAATAAAAAACGATTTTTGGTTAGGTTGGCATTTTCTTGAAAGTTGTTTCAATGTTTTTAACACGTGGAGTGTAATTATGCGTGCCCGACCGACGAAACGAATCTTGGCGAATGATAGCCGAGAAGTCTAGAGAAATGCTTAGGGAGTAACCTTGGTATGAGAATCGGAACCAAGAAAGTTAGTTGTTATTGAAAAACTTGTAGCTTAATTTTCATCCTATCAAGGTAAACAAAAAAACAAAATGTAGGGCCAGTAGCCAAGTTTTTTTCCAAGTAACGTTTAAAACAAAAAACTATCAATTTTCTGTCATATCACACTCAGTATATTATATATGTGATTAATAGAATATCTTATTCCGATTACAATGATGTAATACTCTCCATATTTTAGTCCATTCGTTTTTGACAAATCGGCAAAAATAGGAAATTTTTATATAATATAAATATATAAACTAAAATAGAACAAAAACACTAAAAATGACAAGACACACTAAAGTAAAACTTCTTTAACTATCCTATTCACGATTTTCCTGAACATGTTTCTCATACACCCTAATCGTATGATGTTTTGAATTTAGAAACGTTTCCGGATTTACTCTTAACTGATTGACTGTGCACGTGATTTTTTGTGTCCCCAAAAGAAAAAATCCATTAAAGTTAAGTCGGGCCTGTTGGTTGGCCAATCCATAGTTTCGCCGCTCCCTATCCATTCCATGCGATATTACATGTTAAGAAAATTTGGACATATCTGTTTTGATGGAGCTCGGCGCTCTGGATAAAGTCTAATATACTGACGACGAGCTGTACTTTTAACATTCAGAAAGTATACTTGAAGCATATCACTCTTTTCACGAATGCTAAATTGACGGAAAACTATTTAAATAATAATAATTTGCACAATAATTTAACTATCAATGATGTTACATAAACATATTTTTATTTGTCAGTCAAGTCAGTCTTTGAAATTATATAAAAAATTCCTATTTTTGCCGATGTGTCAAAAACGAGTGTACTAAAATATAAAGATATATAAGATACACGGTGTTCCATTAAAAAATATATGATGAAGGCTTATATGTCAGAAAATTGAAAGTGTTTTCTTTTATACGTCACTTGGAAAAAAACGTGGCTACGAATATATCTCTAAAAACAAAAAAGTTACAGCCAATTAAAATGTTATCAAGATAAATTGAACGCGCGGTACAGGAAAGACTAATATATCCTAAAGAATTCTTTCTATCGAGTATTGGGGGATTGTCGCGATCACTATTGATTTAATAAGATTGAAGAGGGCTAACTCGTAATCCGCTATTCGTTAGAAAAGTGTTGATGGACTGCGTCGTCCTGAGATGGCGGCAGTGTTTAACTACTTTTAGTCGAGCGGCCGGAAGTTGGTATAATATCGACCCGCTTGAAGGTGGCGCCTGTGGTAGGTCAAATGTACCACTCCGTTAGGAGTGTTCCATACCCACTACTATCCTTCTTTTAATATTAAAGTTAAATATTTTTTGTATAAGAGTTGAAATGATATATCAATAAAATTTTTAGCGAAACTTTCCGTAACTCTTAACTTAATTCGTTAATCTCGTTTTATTAAGTACAAAACCAAATCGCTTAGATAAGGGAAATAAACTCTCATTCGGTTTTTTTTGCGACACGTGTAAGCATTTTGATTGGCATTGTTTACAAATAGAGCATCATAATAAACTCATTTAACATTATCTTGAAATTTTAAAACAAACACATTTTTTTTATTGCCGCCAAATCACAGATGCATAGATCTTTGGACTTACTTTTTTATCATAAGAGGGGTGCAATTTTTTTGGTCACAAAAGGAAAACAAAATGGAATATAATGTAATTGAAACACATTATATGTCGGTTGAAACTTTAAACGTCACCGAAAATAACAGGCAAAATTCTTTACGAAACTTTTGAGCGAGCCAAGAACATGAAAACCTTGCAAATTTTAGTTATATATTTACAAGTCGTATATTGCGCAGTATATATTTTCGGCCAACAAGAATGTACTTGTGATATATTAGGTATAAGCACATTTGAAATCGTCGAAGCTGTTGTTCCAATGTACTCATAAAGGAATTGTATATATCTGTTTTATGTGAACATTAACGAGCCACATTTGGTTTGGCACGTTGAAACTTTAAAGGTTTAGTCCTTGGGTAATGTTAATTTAGTTCCTACACATTCCAGCGAAAAATTTAAAGCTTAAAATTGACTTAAATTTTTTTAACCTCTAATTAAAATTATTTCACGGCGAAGACACCAATGTTTAAAAGACTGAATCTGAAAGGACATCAAAGTCACTTTTCAACCTTATATTTCGAAAATTTTGTTCCAAATTGGGAGAAAATGTAATAAATACGAAAAGGAAAACAATTTGGAGACGCTAGTAAAATTTGCATTATTGCATCGCGCCTAAATTACAGTAATCTTTTTTTCCCTTTTCGACTTTTAAAAACGTAAGTAAATTGATTAGGGAATCATAAGTTCGGGATTTTGAAAATTTCCGTTGCTTTCTTCGATTGGCCTCTAAATAATAAACGCTATCTCGCTGTTATCGTTATATTGTGTTACAAAAATCAAATATCACACTCTCAAAGTATCAAAGTGATGGTAAACAATAAACATGGCCGTATTCGAGACAATTATTAATTAATTAAAGAAAAACATACGTTGGTTTTAGTTATATAGATATATTGAAATATTTTGGGAGGTGAATTTAAAGATCTAAATGAATAGTTAATCTACAATCAATTCTTTAATTGATGAATTTTAATGTGGAAGACAATGTTTCAGTGTTGAATCTAGAAGAACTTCGAACATTGTTTATATTTTGCAGAATTTCCCTTGTAAGAGCGAATCGAAACATCAGATATAAAGGGTGATTCACAAAGAATGGGCAAACTGCAGGTACTAGGCCACAAAATATTATTAAATTCCAACATTTGGTTTGAAGTGTTTTTACTACTATTACCAAAATGACTGTGGTTAAATGTTAGTTTTTTATTTTATTGTTTCAGATATTTATCATGTTTTAAATAACTCAACAGATGAAAAAAAGTGAACATAGCGCTCTATAGAGTCAGCACCCAAATAAGTTTCAAATTCGTAATTATTTTGTGGAAAAATCCAAAACTGCCAATTTCTATTGTATATTATAAAAACTTTCTCAATTAATCAGAAAATTATAATATTTCGGTGTCTATTACCTCCAGTTTTGAGATTGTCCATTCTTTAATCACCCGGTATATCTGATATTTTGATTGCCACTGACCTTTTCGAGAAACTTATGTTCGAGATTTTGACTTACTTTTCCAAGATTGTGTCATATTTTCCAGAAAGTCGGAAATTCTGACCTCAAGAAATTGCCTTATTAAACTGAAACCTATATTTTACTTTTGCAAGCCTTTCTGTACTTTCGTAATATTATTTGAGGGAGTTTATTAGTTAAAAATCTTTGAAATTTGGTAACATGTTCTGAAAAATTCAATAATACTGCTACACATTTATTTCGTTAGAAAAACGATCTTCAATTCCTTTGTAGTGAGCGTCTTTTGGGCATATTCATATAAACCGCCGCGAATTCGAACTTGTTTCCGACCCCCTGTATAGTGCACGTTCCGATTTGCAATAAATATTTGCTACACTGCTCATGTACTTGGACTGTCTTAAGTCCACCTCGCACATTAAATTTATTGTTCAATATACACCTACGATATGGCCTTTGCAACGAAAACAAACTTAAAATACATAAAGTATTATAATCGAGAAGCAGGAATTTTATCGTCTGTTAACCTTTAATTTTTGCGACTACGTATTATTAATTTAATACAGTACATAAACTCGAAACTGCATTCTTTGTGATCATTTACTTATTTTATAACGACATACATATTGCGGATTATCAAAATCGAATAATGCGTTCCGGGACAATTAATTCCAATCTATTTTTGATATTGTCCGCTGCCGCTAGGCCGCCGTTGCCAATTTCATTTAACCCACACAGACGCAAACGATTAAAAAATCACGAAATTTACTCTTTAATCAAATCAATTTGAACTCCTATATACATATAAACTAATCGCGTATTTTCAATTTCAGTTGTATTTTGCGACTATGCCGCGTCGGGAAGATCATTGCAGTTCATCGAGGAATACATACTGCGCGAAGTACTCCCAACGTATGGCAATACTCATTTTACAACAAGCATTTCATCGTTACAAACAACCTTATTTAGGTAAGTCTGCTGCAATTAAATATACTGTATGTATATACCGGAAAATGGCAACGCTACTGGCAATTTTGCAATACATCAAGCAGAACAAAAGAATATCAAAATCAATATTTTCAACGGATAGAAGAACTTTTCTTTGCTGCTTAACGAAATATCAAATTCAAACTTTTTTCTCTAATTTTTTATTAATTCTTAATTTATTTATTCTATTTTGTAAATATTATTTTCTTTGAAAAATTATTTATTAATTATTTCTCCGAAATCTTAAATACAACCCGTTAAATTTAACCCTTTCTTATACTTTAAATTACATTAATAACAAATCCGAAAACTTTCTACAAAACTTATGAATTCCGCTTGCGTTGATGTTGAGTGGAACTCGCCAATCTTCGGAAACAGCTATGGGCTCTTTGAAAAGAAAGCTCTCGACACCTTCTATCTAAATCCAAAATTATGAAAACGCTACGTCGATGATACTGGTCAAGAATCCCTAGTAGATTCTCTTAGACATTTAAACTCTATACACTCTAACATACGTTTTAAAATTGAATTAGAAACTAATAATAACCTCCCATTCATAGATATTCTTACCAATAGAAAATCACACCTAACATTGGGTCATTGTGTTTACAGAAAACCTACGCATACAGACCTATACCTTAATGCATAATCTCATCACCCCCGGTTATCAACTTTCTTGTTTACAGAGCCGTAAAACTATCTAAGTCCGAGTTATTGAACCCAGAATTAAAACACCTTACTTCTGCTCTTCTCTCTAATAACCTCCACTTTAAAGATATTAAGCGTTCCATCACAAAATACTCTTCACCACACCTTATAATAGCAAAGAAGCCGAAAGCAATCCCACATGTGCGACTGTTGTTCTTCCTTACATGCAAAACATCACTGACCATATTAAAAGTTATTACGAAATATAACGTCAAAACCAGATTTACCACTTCTCCAAAAATATGTCAACATCTTTGATCTGTTAAAGACAAAATTCCATTTGAGATGCCAGGAGTTTATAGCATTGTATGCATATGCGGCAAAGAATACATTGGAGAGACCAGACGAAAAATATCAACTAGGATCAAAGAACATGAAAAGAGCCTTAGGACTGAGACAAATAAACTCATCAGCAGTTGCTGAACACAATCAAGAAACCAGACATAAAGTTTTATTCGATAAAACTAAAATTTTTGCATGTAATCAATTCTTCTACCACCGAAAAATCCGAGAATCTATAGAAATCTATAAGCAACCTAACAATTTTAACCTGTCCAACCTGTCACCAATATCAGTCATTCGAGACGATGTTTATGCCCCTCATTTAGTTCAATAAACAATATATACGCAGGTACAGAGTAAAATGCGAGGCAGTTTCAGTCAAGCTCTGAAGAAGCCAACATTATAATTGGCGAAACGTTAGCAAGTGGAAGTTTATTTGAAAAATTAAATTGAAAGCCCTGATTGTAATATAAAAGTAACGACGTTTTTAATTCGTAACTCATACTGTTATTTTTTTATTAAATAGATATCCAGTGTTTATATAAAGAGATAAATTAATATCGTCCCTTTAAATTAAACCGACTTGGCTAACTTTCTTTTTTGTTTATTTTGCTAACTAGTTCGATTTATTAGAAAATAGATAATATTACAAAAATTTCAAAATATTAAAATTCATATTACACGTGCAGTTTTGTTTTATTTGAAATATTACAATATTACAATATTTCAGTTTCAAAGCATAATAATAAGTTATAATATTACAATATCTATTTGACCTAGACACCTAGATTTAAATAACGTGTACGCTTCCAACCAAAATTAATTTATCAAATTATCAACTTGTTACAATTCAATCTAAATTAAAATTAAAAATATAAATTGAACTTCAAGAAAAAACAAAACTATATATAACGAATATAGTTTTTGACATAAAGATCAGGTATAAATACTCTACGAAAACATGATATATTATAGGAACAATAGTATTTATCGTGATGTCAAATAGTATGATACAAAGTACTACGTTCAAGCAAGGTCGCAATATTCTCTTATTTAGTGAATTGTATTATAATTTTTAGTATTTCTTTTGTTTAATTGCTTCTTTATTATTACTTATTATGCTTAGTTTCTGGTGTGATCTGTGTGACTGTTTGCTTTTTGTTGATATGTTTCTCATAACCAATTTTATCAATACTCAAATTAGGAAATATCAACAGTAATTACGCTGAATGTTAAAAAAGCATTGAATATAGTGCATCTTGCCAGTCAATCCTTCAAAGGTGTAGGAAGACGGCGATCAATGATCAATGATCAATCTAATAACGTTGATAACCAGTTACCTTTTCGAAAGGGAGATGATAATCATTAACTAAAGCGGTGGAAATCGCAAGCGATGTTCCTCAGGAGTCCGAGATGGGGCCAACCTGTATAATGAGCTCCTAGAAATTGAACCACTAACAGGCACTACTGTTTTCAGATTTGCAGATGACATAATGAAGATTGAAAAAGGCCCATCTAGAGCGCAAATCGGATTGCTCAAACTGGATAAAAAAAAGAACACGCCCAACTGGCTTCTGAAAAAATCGAATCAATACTGGTGACCATAACAAGGATCTTGAAGGCACTAGAATTTGATATACGGGGAATGAAAATAAGACTTAATAATGCCATTAATTTGGGGTTATGCCTGGTTTTTGGCCAGTAGGAATCCGGCGCTATCCACCACATCTTAGGGTGCCTTACGTTAGATGACCCCCCACCCCTTCGTTATGATAAAAAAGGAAGGTGTTATGTACAAAGGGATGCATATAAAAATTAAAATAATTATGCAAACCTTCATATTATTTTTTTATTTATTTATATATCCCAATTACAAAATGCCAAATTCACAATTTCCAGTAAGTTAAAAATAAAACGAAACAAACTTCAGAACAAATAACCCCCCGAGTCGAAAAATAAATATAATAATGGGAATATTCAAAAAAAGAGAAAACCAAAACGAACATAAAAAATAATAACTGGCAATGTTAAGTAAATAAGGAAGATGCCAGTTGCTCTGGTAGTTGAAACTCTTTGGAATAGGAGAATTTTCCTTTTTCGCTGCTCAACTAAATCTCAGATTCGATGTTTTTTCTTTTTTTATCTATTTATTTCTCTGAAATCTTAAATGCAAACCTGTATATTTTTTAACGCCCTCTGATAATCATAAATAACGCAACCCACATTATTTTTTTATTAACTGAATATCCAGGAATTATAAGGAGATACCTAACTTTCTTTCTCGTCTATTACCTAGCTTCAGCCAAGCAAGTAGTGTCGCTTCTTAATAATTATCAAGAATGGTCAGTTTATATGCTTCAAAAACTTGTGTTCAAAACCCAAAGGACACACGCAATGTGCACCATAAAGGGAAGACCGCACATCAGAGGCATACTTCAGATGGAGGCTTACTAATGCTCAATATAAAGTTCTTAAGACTGAAATGTTGTTTAATTCTCGGATACTCATCAGGAGATAATGAAGCCAAGCATCTCAAATGCAATTCAAGATCCTCTATAAGAGCAGTTGGTAAAACATTCGTGAATGACATTCAAACATACATCGAAAAAGAGTAGACGAAGATGTGACCCCTGGGGCGCTCTAGATGTCGCATGTATAACTCTGGAAAGAAAATTGCCAAATTTAACAATCTGTCTTCGACCTGACAAGTCGGTACGAATAACTTAAGCTCGTGTAATAAAATGGTGTGTTAGTTTAGTATATTATGTGATATATTATGTTTTTAAAAGACATGCTGTTGTGGGGTGGGTAAGTACAAATTAGCAGCTACCAAGTGGTTATTTTCTACGTTGTCTCAGCGTTTATACGATGCCGTTCCATTTTATTAAGCGCATAATAGTTCTACATTTGAACAATGAGGATATCCGGTATGGTGTAAACGCATTTGACAATTCGGTTACGTATTTACGTGGCTTGGAAATGCATTGTTTCACGTATTATACGCAAGGAAAAGCAAATTAATTTAGACAATGCAAATAATTGCTCAGTACAAATTTTATTAGATATCAATGACGATTTTGTTCATAAGTTATTACAGAACAATGGTGAATATCATGACAAGTAGTATAACATTCGCCAGTGTCGTACGAGCTTTCATATTTATAGCGATATTGTTCATCTTATAAAAGAACGAATAGAATGACATTCATTGCGACTGATAACAAACAGTTCACTTTCTATCAGTTTGTGTTTTGAACAAAATCCTTCGAAATATTTCTAATTCTAAATTTCACTCCAAAAAGAAAACGAGACATATTTTAAACAAAGTAATAAACAAAACAATTTCCAATCGTTGACAAATACTTAATGCGGAGGTGTTAACCGCGAGTTATGATATTTACAACACCAAATAGCGATAACGTGGTAATTTTCCTACCGGTATCAATCCTTGAACAGTGCGGCTATTTACAATGCGTGTAAATAAAATCATCGACCTTGCAAAAGACTCAGCAATGGATAATTTTGAAGTAATATGGTAAGCGGGCCTTTAGAAAAGCCACTTATTCGAATTAGACAAGGACAACATATTTACATCTACATTTATACGATAACTAAAAAAAAGAGAATAAACTTAAAATATCTAGCTCAATAGATAGAGAGAACAACCCAATCGTATATTTTTGAAATATATCACTCACGAATTCAATTATAAGCTCTTCCTGAATAATTTGAAAACGAAAATAAATTTGTTGAGTTATAACCGCAATCAAATGCAAGGCATTGTAAAAAATATAATTTAATCTTGTTTTCGAAAAAAATTGTTTCAGGGTGAACAACTTAAAAGTTACATTGTGTTGAAATATATAAGTTGAAAATGAATGGCAATGATGGTGTTACACTAATTTGTAGATAATAGAGACCTTCAGACAATTGAGATATTAATTATTCTTAGGTTAATTAATAAGTATCATTATTTAAAAAAAAATCATTATTTCAAACCGACTTCACTTATAAATTTTAGTCATCATGTTCCGAGTAGTCAGATGATCTATAGTCGTTAGACTCCAGAGAAACAATAAGGGGCTCTACACCCGGCATGTTGTCAGGTTCCGACGTTATTTCTTCTACTGTCTTTATTAGAGGGTTTCAACCTCCGTTATTTTTAACATGGTGTTCGGCCTAGCTACAAACCCTTTTACTTGCGTCCATACCAATTCTATGAGGTTTAAGTCATTTTTTAAGCGATTAGGCGGAACACGAAGTACCATTATATTTTGTTTTAATGCGATTTCGTTGACCACAAATTTCGTAAATGGAGGTTTGTTCAAATTTACAATGCTCCAGAAGCTCCTTCTCAGCACATCTTTCTCTATTAAAACTGATTTTCTGTTTTGAGTGTTTTCGTAACGAAAATTGATTTCAAACATTATTTTGACCGAGGTAGGTATTTCTCCATTTAAGTAAAACGAGTGTTTTATTCTTTTGATGCAAATGTTGAACTCAAGCGTGTATGGATGGTATTTGTATTTTTTAAAATTCTTTGGAATTTTGGTACCCCACTGCTTGTTCTATGTATTCGCGGAACCTGTTGTCTCTCTGGATATCTAATAAACAAAACACATTTCTATAATATAAGAATTATACCGACTATATCCCCTAAAAACCCTTACTTTTTTTACTATACTTCTTCTATGACCGTTACGAAAAAATCACAATTAAAAATAATGACAGATTTTCGGATTACTAAATTTGGTACCAAAATATTTACTAATTGCCGTCAAACCTATTCGTTTATTGTTCGGATCGGTTCTGCTATTGTTGTCTCTTTTTAAGTGTGTACGTTAGACAGAGAGAGATGTATTATTGGATATGTCATATAAACAACGGAATATAAACGTCGTTGTTTATTTAACTTTTGCAATTGTGAGTCTACGTGTCAAAGTGAGTCTACGGTAGAATAAATTTAATCATCTCATTGGTTTCAAAAGTTATTAGAAAATGGTAAATACAAAAGTTGTACAGATTGTTAGGATGCAAAATTTAAAATTATTTTAAAATATACAAAAATGCACGACGAATAAAACAAAGATTTTTTTAAAAATAAAACACCCTTTTATTAAATTAATAATGCACACCTAAACCTAACAGGTTTTCCACTATTATAATAAAAAAAAAATAGTTTTCACACTTGCATAAAAATAGCGCCATTATTTTTGAAGGTAGATCACTCTCAGGTTTTCGTCAGATCTTTCAGAAAAATTAATAAATGTATGGTGTACAATTTAAGAAAATGGACATTTGGAACTTTATAATGATCCAAATATATTCGTTTATTTTGTAGCATCTAACTCAAATTGCGTTGCATGTATCTTTGATTCTTATTTGTATGTGTGAAAATTGGTATTTTTTCAGAAAATATAAAATATTGGAAAAAGGTATTACGTATGTAGTAATATAAAATTTTAAGAAATTTTCATTACATTTTACATTAACATTTCTTTACATTTTACCGTTTACCATTTTCTGATAACTTTTGAAACCAATGATATAATGAACTTTACTCTATCCTTGACTCACCCTGTACACATTTCTTTGCTTTCTTACTTTTGGGTCGTTCCTATACACGGGGTTTCAAACATCCTGCGTTTTTTTATATTTTCGATAATGATCTTTTTCTTTTTATGTATTTATTTATTTATATATGTTATTGGATACTTGCCTGTATCGATCATTAGCTAAATGGTTATTTTTTGCTAAAATATTAACCTTTTTTCTAAAGTTTCCTCTTTTTGTTCTGCTCTCTTGTATACGTAAGATGTTTTGGAAAAATGAAGCTCACATTTAATTACTTTAACCTACACAATCAACTGTTCAATTCAATTTTTTTTTAGACAAGAAGCTCGGGAAATACTAAGGACTGCAGTGAATGCGTCCGATGATGACGCTGTGATATTTGGTGGCCATGGGTGTACGGACGCATTGAACAAACTTATTTGGGCTTTGGATATTCAGGATGCGCCGGTGATATTTACAGGCCCAAGCGAGCATCACGACAACTTGAACTTGTGGCAGAAGACCGGTGCTAAGGTAAAAAAAGAGAATGAATGAAAGCATGGTAAACCTTAAGGCGTTTATCGCTGACAAAATCTGCAAACTTATCCTTCTCAGAGCAACCTTGTTTAAGGTTCATGGCGATTAAAACGGATATAGAAGATGGTCTTTTCATTTGAATTGTATGGCTAACTTTCAAATCATTAAAGATAAAGGGCCGGTTAAATAGGATACTTAAGTCAACAAAGTTTTTAAATTATTTGTTTTAAATCTAATTTGCACTGTAACTTCTGATTAAGGAATAAAATTTTGATTTTTGAAAGAAGCTTCCACAGGCTGGTGTAATACTTTTTACGCAACTTCTGGATTCCTCCTGCGTCGGTCTTTGCCGAGTCGAACTTGCTGACGTTTCGCCAATCATCGTCTTACACTCAAGCTCAAGAAGCTCTGAAGAAGCCAACAGGATGATTGGCGAAATGTCAACAAGTTCGACTCAGCAAAGACCAATGCAGGAGGAATCCAGAAATTTTGTAAAAAGTATGTACAGAACATACATTCCGCACCACAAAAACTTTATGCTGTCCTAATTCCGTTCCCCAAACTCAACTATGTGCTGTTACAATCTATAAAAAAGTTGCTAGATCAATCTCTGCAAGTCTACTACACAAATCAGCCTTGTGCATCAAACAATGCTCATCTAAATGATGTATTTATTTCCGCCTACGGACGCAGGAGGAATCTACAATTTTTGTAAAAAGAATATAATTTTATAGATTGTTTTATTAACTAATAGACATAGTTTTCTTCTAATCTCAAACCATTTCGAGAGATTTTAACTCAAAATAGGGATTCAACTTTTTTTCAAAATGGTTAATAAACGGTTAAAATTTCAAGGTTGCCTAGTAGTAGTTGGAATATAATATAGACAAAATGTGTGAATTCCGTAGAAACCCTTTTTGAACCCTGCACTTTCGGTATATGCTTCTTTTTGTTAAATTGGAAATAAATGTGCCAGAAAAAAAATCCTAAATGTTTTACTCCGTCTCTGTTCATTTAATTTTTTTTACACAAATTTTATTCCATTTCCTTAAAATTTCGTAAATTAAAGTGAGACGAAAATATATTTTAAGAAAGCGTTTTACTAGGTTATCCATAAAAGGTTTTGATTTAACTTCTCCTATTCCATCTCACATAGTTAACTTATTCCTGGATTTGTTTTCGGTAGTTTTAAAAAGCACGGCTATATTTATAACTAGCTTTAGCTTTATAGTCAATATTGTAAATGCTGCAGGACAAATTGTTTTTACAATTGGACTTCAGTGAAAACGCGTATTTTTGGGATATTATGTAATGCCATTATAACATGCAGCTTTTTTACAGACATGCATCTCTTAACTCAAGAAAAAAAGTAACTTTTTCTTAATTTATTTATAGCATTATTTTAAACAAAAGTTTCTTGGAATTGGAATAAAATGTATGGTGTTGAGCATGGAACTTCAATGCCAGGAAAATCTGGCAACTATTAGGAACAAATTTGAAAAAGTCGCCTTTGCTGAACTTACAGTGAATTGACATTCTCTCCTAACGGGTCTTATAAGTACTCCGATTTATCATTCATAATTTATAATAAAGTGGTAAAACATGTATTTCAATCCGTTCCAAGAAATTACCCTTGATCTTGTTGCCAACTTTTTCGTTTTCGTATGAACATTAATACAGTTTTCAAATTACGCCTGCCGTTGGCATTGTTTTTCAAGCAGCTAAGATTCTCCAGTCATGCGTTTGTGCAATTTGTGAAATTTCCACGCGATCCATGAAATCGATTTGAATGCATAAACAAAATTTTTCATTTAGGACAAACTGCGGAAATGGCGAGCGGAATTTACCCAACGTAAATAAACATTTTTCTATTTAACGCATTTTTAGTTTTGGTGTGTTTGGTTTGGTTTGTTTGGTATTTATTGAGCCTATTTTGAATTTATTGAGTCATTTCTATATTGAAATAAACTAAACGGCAGAGGAAACCAGGAGGTTATCTGACTTCGACATTTCTTTGGTGATGCTGGATTTTTAGGCAGTGGTACAAGCGCTTCATGTAAGGCAGCGAAAAATTTTTTGCGAATATAAAACAGAGACGTCTAAGCTGCAACAAGGAATCGTTTGTAAGTAAAATGTGGCTTTCAAGAAATTTTTATTTTTCAAACGCTCAACAGTTTTCTTCAGCCTCGCTGTTTAATAGGTCTTATAATGGTAATAAGGCGATCCTTTATAAATGTTAATTTTGATATTCAAAGGCACGCAGTAAAAAAAGGTGCATACAATTTTTAAGGCGTTTGTTAGATTTTCAGGCTATTCAGCTCGATGAGTTTTGGAGTTTTTCCGAAGAGAATGTCAATCAGAAACTGTAGACGTTCTTGAGAAGATAATTCCAATAAAAAAATGTCATTTATTTATTTATGTGCACTTTTTAGGTAAAAGGATAAAATATAAAAAAAGGAGAAAAACTTGTTTTTACTGAAGGGCACTGAATATCAAAATCAAAATTAAAAATTCTCATTACAGGTATAACGCCTTTTGAAAGAGTAACGTTTAACAAAAATGTGAAAAACTTCTTTTTCTTTCATTTTTTTTTCCAAATTGATGCAGGTTAGACGGTATCTGTCGTTTAATTTTAATTGGCCCTGTTATGCAAAAAGCTACCGACTCACATTATATGGAAAAATAATAAATAATAAATAATAAAAATACATACTCTTCATTTTGTCATAAAACTTTCAACCCACTCGACTCGAAGTTCGACTCAAAAAAAACCGACGCAGAAGGAATCCAGAAGTTTTGTAAATTGCAACATTTAGAGTTCGCCAATAAAGCTCGCAAACTGCGCAAAGACGTTTTTGATAAAGCTAGAGGCAATGACGAACATGACTGCTTGATTTTTGATAGTCAAAAAGAATTGCCTTTACCACGAATACCCACAAATATTGTGTTCTATAAAAGGCAGCTCTGGGTATACAATGCTGGATTTCACAGCCGTAAACAAAACCGCGGATATTGTTACGTTTGTAACAATGTATATTAAAGCGACTCGGATTTTAGCGATATAGAATACCAATTAAAATCATTCCAACGTGTTTATAGGCCTGATGACATATTGATATTATGAGAAACTGCCGTAAAAAAGCCATTTATGGTAACAAAAATGATATAGAATTAAACCGAAAGAAAAAAAAACTGGCTACATATTGAATCGATTAACTTAGAAAAGAATGAGCCGTTTATAATCTTAGTTAAAGAAAATAATTTCGCAAATGAATATCAGGCATTAAATACTAAAAAAAGTCTAAGGGGGAGACCATCCACAACCGTAAGTTCACCTTTCACATCTCTAGTGCCTTTGTGGCAAAATGGTGAACAATCTGTGAAGAGAAACTTAAGAACTTAAACAAAGTGATGCATCTTGTACTGCCTTTTTATAACAGCATAAAATCAGATAAACAAAAGTTGAAGATGAAGATGGATTCGATGTGGAGGAGCTAGATTTCAATGTTGAAAAAATTTTTGGTATTCTTCAAAAAAAAAGAAACAGTTATACTGAAAAGTAAGATGATCTCACAAAATGACTCTATTTCCATAACAACGCAGTATGTCAAGTACACCCGAGGTGGTGAGCAACTAATTTGAAATCAATGGTGCGCACTCGATGCTTTGTTTATATTTCAAGTTGGTTAACACCTAATATATATTACATGTTCTACATTGCTTAATAATTGTCATAGCTCATTAAAAATATACTGCAGGCGATTTTTCTCTTCGCTATTTTATTATCTGTATTGAACTCTTCGAATTTATTTCCCGAATAAACTAATTAACGGGATATAATGAAAAAATTTCGTTTCTGTCAATAAATCTATTTACAGAAGTCATAAAAATCATTAAGAAGTATAATACTTGCAGGCTATTTAACATTAATTATTTCCTTAACCTTGAAACGGGATTTTACAAAAATAAAAGATATCTTTTCTTCACTTGCTTATATACGTATGATTCGTGCCAGAAAATCTGTCTCTCAATAATTTGATCCGATATAAAACTTTGTTTACAAATAGTTCGATGAAGTATTAAAATAGTTGGGCGTGAGTCCAAATTTATAGCGATTTTAAATTTGTACTTATTAAATCTATTAGTAGAAACGGCAGTCCTTTCAGATTATTGGACGTACTTGAATTTTTCCATGCGAGCTAAATTACTTGATTATAGTTGCCCTTCCAGTAAATTACTTTTCGGATCTTAAATTGTAGCAGCGGCCTCGCCCCAGTAAAAACTAATTTCTGCATACCCGCTAGACATTATAATTACATTATTTTTGCATACCTTCACATACATGAAATTTGAATCTCTCGGATTTTAGTCACATAAATATTTACTTGATCTAGGAAAAATATTTAGTAGGGAATAGAATTTAAAATTAAATTTATTATTTTTTATCATTTTCACCCTACTGTTTTTCATATTCATAAAGCACACTTTTATTATTTTTACCTGGTGTAAGGTTAGGTATGGTCTGTTCATAGATATAAGAAAGTGACCAATTGCTTTTGAATGGGATTATCCGAGGGTGGTAATTAACATACAATGCAACAAGATTATTACCTAAAGTTTCAGAATTTAAATTCAGGTAAAATTGTGATCGGTAATAGAAAATCATTTTATACCTACCTGTGTTTAATATTCTTTGGTTTGGTATACTACTTAGTTTAAGTTTATTAGTAATCATTCTTATTTCGTGTGTAATACAGCGTGTGTTGAATCGTGTGCGAATTATGCAAAATATGTGCGAGTCTAGTGTATCTCAGGAGATCCTCCCCTCAATGTAGAAAACGCTATTCTATTGAGACTAAGGAAGTTATAAACAATGTTTATTTGACTCTCATTGAACGTGGTGCCAGCAAGCAAGCAAGCAGCAAGCAGAAGTTATGCTGACATTTTCTCGAGTGTAGATGAAAGTGATCAAGATATAATACGGCGTAAAATTTACC